CCTGTCCAGCTCCATGTGATCCCAGCATGGAGAGGGTGCCTTTGAAGGCGAGGCCAGGAGATGGGCTCTCGTGCTGGGACACCCAGAGAGGGGTCGGCTGGAGCGGGTAGGGGCCAGCTGGAGCGGGCTGCACCAGGCCCATGGTTGTCCCACATCGGTACCCAGCACCAGAGCACCCATTCATCCTGGCGCGCACACACACTCAGGTCCCACAGCCCAGCACAGCTGGATGCCCATCTGCTCCCTGGAAGCCTCATTCCTACTCCGGGTTCTTATGCTGGTTGAGGGGTCACCACCTCGGTCATCCCTCAGGGCCTCGGTCATCCCTCAGGGCCTTTTCCCATTTCACTGCCCCTGTCAGCCTTGGTCCCTGCCGGGGTTTCACCGTTCATCCTGCCCCTCCCCATCTGGGAAACTATGAGGCCCTCAGCCCTGGGGCATCCCAGCTCCTGTAGTCGGTCAGTGGGGTCAGGAGAGCTTGGACACCAGACTCCGGGCTGGGGGCCCCACCTCCGGCCCTCATCTGGGCCTGGCCCCCCAGTACCTCCCCAGGACCTGCAGGGCAGAAGGCAGGCTGCAGGGTCTGAGGCCCACCCACCCCCCACACAGGAGCCAGCTCACCTTGCAGTAGAACTCCCAGGAGGGTCACAGTGGCCAGAAGAGCCACCTCGTCCTTCATGGTGATGCTGGTGGCTCAGTCGGGCCGGCTGGTGTGTCAGAGGGCTCGCAGCAGAGTTTATCAGCCCCTGCCTGGCGGCTGCTCAGAGGCTGGCCCAGGAGAGGAAGAGTGGCTGGCTCTCCCGCCCCTTTGCAATGGAGGGCAAAGGGCAGGGGCGTGGCTACGGCCAGAGAGGGGCAGGGAGCCTGGTCAAACTGAGCAGGCGGAAACCAGGGTCACATGAGCCTGGGCAGGAGAGAGCAGCTGGCTGGGGTAGCCTGGCCACTTCCAGTTTTTCTAGTCCCTGTGCCAAGCCCTGTGCTGATGGAACTTAAAGCTGTCCGCCCAGGTGTGCTCCAGCCTAGGTGTCATCCATGTCATCCCTGTGTTCCCCAGGCCCTGCACCCTCAGCAGGTTCCTGATGGCCCTCGAGCCTCCCCTTGTCCTAGGTCTGGCTTCAGGAAACCAGAGCTACCACCACTCAGCACTCTGGGTTCTTTATGCTGGTTGAGGGGTCATCATCTAAGCACCCAGCCCACACTGGGCACAGCCAAGTGCTCGCTTTCTCCCAGGAAGCCTGATGCTGCCAGCCTCAGCTGCCCGGCTCCAGGTGCCCGGGCAACGCTGAAGGCTGCCCGGCTCCAGGTGCACGGGCACCGCTGAAGGCTGCCTGGCCGGCCTGGCAGGGTGGCTCAGCCCACTCAGGATGGCCGAACTCATCCTCTCAGAGCCTCTGACTCCACGCAATCGCCTGCTGTTCTGCCTGCCCAGCAGCCTTCCTTCCTAATACCCTGACCGTCTCCATACTTGGTCCTGTGGTCTGGGCAGAGCTGCCCCCACTCCTCTGAGACCTGTGGGAAGGACACATGAGCCAAAACTGACCGTAGAGCCAAGATGGTGAGACGCAGCTCTAGAAGCTTCCTTAGAACGGAGAGAGTTCAGAGTGAGGAGGGAGATTGCTGAAGGCCATTGATGGCCACACACCAGCCTGAGGAGGATGGAGCCCACACAGGGCCACCATGACCGAGAGGGGGCTCATCCTGGCACCCTGAGGCCACCTTGCCTGGACTGCCCCCCCGGCTGTAAGAGCCTCTTCTCCTTTAGGCTCACACCGCTGGGAAGGGGGTTTTGGTCAGTGTTGGCAGCATCCAGACTGATACACAAGCACAGACAGGAGCCGGTGAGGCCACAGCAAGCACTGGCCAGGCAGTGGGAGGGACAAGGGCCGGGCAGCTGGGTCTCTGGAGCAACTGCTGCTGCAGCAGGTCCTGGCCACCAGGACGACGGCACCCCTCAGCCTCCACACCTTGCACCCACCTGGCCTCCTTTCTTGCTGCCCCAGGCCCAGGTTCCAGCCTGAGGGCTGTGGTGCCTGCTGGGTTTCCCAAGAAACCCTTTTACCCTCATTACCTGGCCAACACCAACCAGCCATTCTGTCCACCCCCCGCCCACCAGCCACACCCCAACCAGCTGCTCCCCAGCTGGGAGCGCTGCAAGCACCTCAAGGGCAGGGATGGGTCTCCAAGTCTGTGCTCACTGTGGGCCAGGTCTGACCCATAGGAGCTCAGTGACAGGGCATGGCTGATAGATGCTTAGAAACAAACGAGAGCACCAGGGAAGGGATGCCAGATGCACCCTCCAGCCCTCTAGCTGCCCACTCAGCCCTCTTCCTCCCTGAAACCTGCCCCTGACGGGTAGGACACATGCTGGCGGAAGGCCTGTGCCCCGGGCATGTCCATGCACAGTGCGTGCCCGTCGGTCCGCCTGTTGCACGCCTGTGTGTCTCTCGGGGTCCCAGTGCTGGGGAGTGTATTACAGCTCATCTGTGGCCGGTGTGTCTCTGGGTGCCTGCAGGTGTCCAGGCCTCTTCTCTGCCAAGCTCTTGTTTCCTCTGAGGCCTAAACATCCTCCCTTCGGAGCTCATCCCCTTCTGCCTGGGCGGCAGGAAGCTGACTAACAGCAGCAGCTTCTGAGGAAGTCCCTGGCCTCAGCCCCTGGAGCCCTCCCCAAGCCCTTGGTCTGAGCTCGCCCAGCCTCTCAGGTCCCGGCCTGGGCTGAGTCTGCTCAGGAAAAGAGGTCCAGCCCAAGGCCCTCCAGACAATGGCCAGCCCGCCCCCACCCTCCTGGGCAGCCCTGGAGGTGCCGGCATCAGGAGGGAAGTGAAAAAGCCCCTCCCTGACCCCTGCAGGACCTGCCCCTATGACTCAGAACCCCTGCCCTCTGTTCTAAAGCCTCTACATGGCCCCAAGGAACCTTCTGGAAGCTGAGCTCACCAGGGACCTTTTGGGGAGTGGAAAGGCCAGCAGAACCATTATGTTGAAAATAAATCACAACTTTGGTATGATAGACCACAAGCAGTGCATAATAACCCTACTAAAAAAGAAAAATACTTATTTTGAAATTATTTTCTTTCAAAAAGTTGCAAAAATAGTATAGTTAGCACATACCTTTCATCCAGCTTCCTCTAATATTAAAATCTTATATAACCATATTTTCATTATGTAAACTAAGAAATTAGCATTGATACAGATCTTATTAGCCATTTTACAGATCTTATTCAAGTATCGCCAATTGTCCCACTAAATTAGTACAAAGACCTCAAAAACATGCTAAGTGTGCCAGACACAAAAGACCATATGTCCTATGGATCTGTGGATACTGTAAGAGCTTGTTGCTTGAAGCCCTGCTTTTCCAAAAAATGTGCGACTCTGGTCCTTTGTCCCTTGGGAATGGTGGGAAGGACTTTATCAGCCATGCTGAAGTCCCTCCGCATGACAGCCGTCCGGAGACCAGGAGGGGGTAGCTGACGATGTTCAGTTCTTTATCCCCCAGATAAAGCCTGTTGTCTTTAGGAACATAGCCCAGGAGATAACATCGTTCTGTCCAAGTGGGCAATGGTGACTATTTCTGCTCCAACATAGTAATTTGATCTGTTCACAGAACTTGTGCAAATGAAGCAGTCACCTACCCACAGCCCCGTTTTCACAATTTCCTGAATCTCACCAAGAACCTCAAAGGCATCTCCAGTGCCATCTTCAGTAACTCCCTCATGTGTTTCCTGTGCAGCCAAGACTTCTTTCCGACAGATACTTAAGGATAAAAAATGACTCCTCAGTGGCAATACAGACTAGCTCTCCAGAGTCAGACCAGAAGATATGTTTGGGCTGAATTTCAATTCTGCGTGTGAGTTCTGGATTGTCCCAGTCATAGAAAGCTAAGCCATTTACAGATCTGACCCCCAATAAGAAGCCTCCATAGATACTTTCAGCTCCAAAATCTGGTTTAAATGATTTTTTTCCTTAAAGTTTTTAAATATCTTTACAACACTGTTGCTCTCTTATTGCGTACTCTGAGGGGTCATGGGCCCATGCAAACTCCTGGGCAGACCCAAAGCTCTTGTTTCTCAAAGCCATTGCTGTGTAGGTGATATACTCGCCGTCACCACAAACCACAACAAATCGCCCATTAGGATTGTGCTGAATAGTCTGAGGGTATATTTCACAACTGCCCATATCCTTCACTGCCAGTGGCAAGCTTTCTCCATCTTTAATCTCAGCATTGCCCATTGCTTTTAGGTTGGCCTGCTGGACTTCTGAATGCTTGGCCCAAATTATCTTTCAAATTGGCATCCATGGACATGGCAGGTTCCTCCCGACCAAGCTTAACAATGATACTCCTTTCGTCATAGCCCAAAGATTGAATTTATATAAAATTCCCGAAAAGGCAAAGTAATAGAGACAGAAGACAGGTAAATGGCAGCCTGGGCTGTGAGTATGAGGGCTCTGATTGGGGTCATGAGAATGTTCTAGAGCTGGTTTGTGGTGATATTTGCACAACTCAGTAAATTTACTAAAAAATTGTTGAATTTTTACACTTAAAATGGGCAGATTTTATGGTATGTAAGCTATCCTATATAATAAAAGCCTAATATGCTAAGTGTCCAGTCATCCGTTCAACCAATCAAAGTGTAATATGCTAATGATATGCTAAGGCTGCTCAACTGCTCTCTGTGACATGCACTGACCACAGGGGGCAGACACTCCAACTGGTAGGTTAGCTTGCTGCTGGGGTCTGGCCGATCAAGACTGAGCGAGACAGGCCAGACACGGCCTGGAGGCCTCCAGCGGTCCCTCCCTGGCCCCGATCCCTCATCCTGGTGGGGTCCCTCGGCCTGGCCTGTGCCCTCTCGCAATCCGGGACCCCTCAGGGGATGTCAGAGAGCCAGTTTCGGCCCGATCCCGCAGGCCAGGCCGAGGGACCCTACTGGTGCACAAATTCGTGCACCGGGCCTCTAGTACCTCAATAAAGTTGTTTTAAAAAATTGTACAAAGACTGCTTGTATATCTTTCCATGGCTTCTACAACTGTTATCATGTTATGTAACATGATTAAAACCAGGAGGGTAGCATTGATCCAAAACTATTAACTAACCTATAGACCTTATCCAGATTTCAACAATTGTCCCATCATGTCCTTTCTGTGGTCCAGGAACCAATCCAAGACCATGTCCTCAGTCTCCTCCAATCGAGGACAATTGGACAGCCTCAGTCTGTCTCTATCTTTCATGACCTTGACCCTGTTGAAGAACACTGGTGAGTTCTGTTATAGATGACCCTCAATTTTGATTGTCCAATATTTTCACATAATGCGCTGAAGTTTTTCATGTTTGGCAAGAATGCCAAAGAAGTGATGTGTGCCCTTCTTCGTGCATCACATCAGAAGGGACGTGGTATCCACACATCTAATCACAATCCTAAGCTTTCTACACAAGGAAATAACACCCATGATGATGGCACATCATGCTCCAGACTTAACCCCCCCGTCTCCAGCCATGCTCTACCCTGCAGAGTAACCTCGCTGATACACAGCCCTGACCTGGCTTTTCTCAGCCTCATTCCATTCGGGCACCTGGGCCGTCAGGCACCCCATGTACTCCCAAGATGCCTGAGCATTCTTCCGTGGCAGCCTTGTCCCTCTCTGTTTTCCTTGTTGGGTTTCTATCTCTCTGCCCTTACAGGAGTTCTTGGGAAGAGATGACTGCCCTCTGTGTGGTCCTCAGGCCCCGCAGGTAGTAGGTGCCCAAAGAAAGGTCCCTGCGAATGAGCAAATGACAACTATCCAGCCGGCCTAGCTGCTCTCCCTTCCACCTTCCCCTGGAAACCACTAAACTGTCTACTGCGTCCGTAGCTTTGCCTTTTCCGGAATGTCATACAGTATGTAGCCTTTTCAGATGGGCTTCTTTCACTTAGTATGCATTTAAGATTCCTCCATCTCTTTTCATGGCTTCATAGATCTTTTTTTTTTCTCCCCTGGGCTGAATGATATTCCATTGTCTGGATGTACTTCACCTAATGAAGGGCATTTTGGCTGCTTCTGAGTTCTGGCAATTATGAATAAAGTTGCTATAAACGTTTGTGTGCAGGTTTTGTGTGGATGTAAGTTTTCATCTCTTGGGGTAAATACCAAGGACTACAATTGCTGGATCATAATGTAAGACCAAGTTTTGCCAGAATCTGTCAAACTCTTCTAAAGTACTTGTACTATTTTGCATCCCCACCAGCAATGAATGAGAATTCCTGTTGCTCCACACCCTCAATAGCATTTGGTGTTGTCACTGCTCTGGATTTTGGCCGTTCTGCAGACTCTCAGTGTTATCTCAGCATTCTTTTCATTCCCCTGAGGACATATGATGTGGAGCATCTTCTCATATGCTAACTTACCATCTGCATATCTTCTTTGGTGAGATGTGTGTTCATGTTTATTGTCCATTTTTAAATAGGGTTGTTGAGTGTTTTTTTATTTTTAAAATATGTTTTTTAATTGATTTTTAAAGAGAGAGGAAGAGAGAGGAATAGAGAGAGAGAGAGAGAAACATCAATGAGAGAGAAACTATTGATTGACTTGCCTCCTGCACTGGAGATCGAGCCAGGCATGGTTCATGGGTCAACGGTCAACCACTGAGCCACATCAGCCAGGCTTGTTGAGGTTTTTTGTTTTGTTTTGTTTGAATATATTTTTATTGATTTCAGAGAGGAAGGGAGAGGGAGAGAGAGAGATAGAAACATCAATGGTGAGAGAGAATCCTCAATTGGCTGCTTCCTGCACGCTCCCTACTGGGGATCAAGCCCGCATCCTGGGCATGTGCCCTTGACCGGAATCAAAAGTGGGACTCTTCAATTGCAGGCCAATGCTCTATCCACTGAGCTAAACTGGCTAGGGCCAGGCTTGTTGAGTTTTAAGAGTTCTTTGCATATTTTAGATAAGTCCTTTATCAAATATATCTTTTGCAAATGTTTTCCTCTTATCCTGTAGCTTATCTTCTCATTCTCTCTCTTTTTTTTTTCCACTCTCCATAGAGACCATCAAAACTTGCCAGTGCTGACTGTATTTGTCACGGCAGGGTATTGGGAAAAGTTTTCAATTAGCAATAATCGTGCCTCGGATAAACCTCATTGGCCACAATACTGCCACGTTTGACAGGATCTTTCACAAAGCAGAAATTTTAAACATTTTCATGATGTTCAGCTTATCAAGTATTTATTTTGCCCTGGCCAGTGTTGCTTAGAGGTTGGAGCGTCAACCAGCACACCAAACGGTAGCCAGATCAATCCCTGGTCAAGGGCACGGGCTTGGGTTGCAGGTTCAATCCCCGTGCCCCAAGGGGGCACGTGTGGGAGGCAACCAATCGATGTGTCTCCCTCACATCAATGTTTCTCTTTCTCTCCCTCTCCCTCCTTTCAACTCTTTCTAGAAATCAATGGGGAAAATATCCTCCATGAGAATTAACAACAAAAAAACCCACAAGAAAAAGACTATCTTTTCTCCATTATATTGCCTTTTCTCCTTTGTCAGAAATCAGTTGAACCCGGCTGGTATGGCTCAATGGTTGAGTGTCGACCTATTGTACTGGGGGCAGGGACCGCGGCATGGAAAGATTACTGAATGTGTTGGCGGCAGGAACTGCGGCATGGAAAGATTACTGATTGTTTTAAAGAAACAAAGTGTTATGATATGCTCCAGCCAGGGGTGACCCCGGTTTCCTCCTGTTTGTATTAAACTTTTCACCCTGCCAGTTCTAAAGAACAGCTAACAAAATGCTTTTGTGATTTTTACAAATAAAAAGCTTTGCTGTACCCCTAATAGTTACTGCAAGCTGCGAGGCTCCCAGAGGGGGAGGGACGCGCTGTAGTCAGCTGGCCAGCTTAATAAAGGCTCCTAAATTTAAATTCTGAGTCGGTGGTCTATCTCGCTGATTGAACCCATAACACTATGAACCAGGAGGTCATGGTTTGATTCCCAGTCAGGGCACATGCCTGGGTTGCAGGCTCGATCCCCAGTGGCAGCGTGTAGGAGGCAGCCGATTAATGATTCTCTCTTATTGATATTTCTATCTCTCTCTCCCTCTCCCTTCCTCTCTAAAATCAATAAAAAATATATTAAAAAAAGAAAGAAGTCAGTTGGCCCTAACCGGTTTGGCTCAGTAGATAGAGCGTCGGCCTGCGGACTGAAAGGTCCCAGGTTCGATTCTGGTCAAAGGCATGTACCTTGGTTGCAGGCACATCACCAGTAGGGGATGTGCAGGAGGCAGCTGATCGATGCTTCTCTCTCATTGATGTTTCTAACTCTCTATCCCTCTCCCTTCCTCTCTGTAAAAAATCAATAAAATATTTTTTTTTTTTAAAGAAAGAAGTCAGTTGACTATATTTACATGGGTCCATTTTGGGGTTCTTTATTCTGTCCCATTAATAAACAAATTGTCTATTTTGCCAGGACCACACTGTTAATTACTGCAACCTTATAGTAAGTCTTAAAGTCAGGTAGCATGAATCCTCCAACTTTATTCTTCTCTTTCAATGTTGTATTGAGTTGGCTATTCTGGGCTTTTTGCCTCTCCATATCAACTTTAGAATCAGTTTGTTTATGTCCCCAAAGTAATTTGCAGGGATTTTTTTTTTAACTGGAATTACATTGAATCTATAGATTAAGTTGGGAAGAACTAACATCTTGATGATATTGAGTCTTTCTATCCATGAACATGGAATGTCTCTCCATTTATTTAATTCTTAGATTTCGCTCATTAGAGATTTGAGTGTAGTTTTTTAGTGAGTTTTGAAACCAGTAATTGTGAGTTGTTCAAGTTTGTTCTTCATGCTGAAGATTGTTTGGATTATTCTGGATTCCTTGAGTTTCCATATGAACTTTAGGATCATCTTATCAATTTCTACAAAGAACCAGCTAAGTTTTTTATATAGATTGTGTTAAATTGTTTATTAATTTGGAAGTATTGCCTTCTCAACAATATTAAATATTCTGATTTGAGCACCTGAGATGTCTTTCCATTTATTAGGTCCTCTTTAATTTATGTCATAACAATGTTTTATAGTTTTCAGAGTATAAGTTTTGCATTTATTTGTTACATTTTTTCTAAATATTTTATACCTTTTGATACTATTGTAAATAGAAGGGTTTTCTTCTCAGATGTATATAGAAACACAACAAATTGTGAGTTAATCTTGTATCCTTCAAACTTACTGAATTTGTTTATTAGTTTCTATTCATTTTTATTTTATTTTATTTTTAAATATATTTTATTGATTTTTTGCAGAGAGGGAGAGAGATAGAGAGCTATAAACATCAATGAGAGAGAAACATCGATCAGCTGCCTCCTGCACACCTCCCACTGGGGATGTGCCCGCAACCAAGGTACATGCCCTTGACCGGAATCGAACCTGGGACCCTTCAGTCCGCAGGCTGACGCTGTAGCCACTGAGCCAAACCGGTTACGGCAGTTCTATTAATTTTTAATGGATTTGTTAATATTTTCTTCTTTTTCATTCTTTATTGCTTAAATTATTACAAATGTCTCCTTTATCCCCCATTGACCTCTCCCTGGCCACTCCACCTCCCAAGTATTTTCTATATACAAACAAGTTCATGTCACCTGCAAATAGAGATAGTTTTACTTATTCTTTTTGCTTCATTTTCATTTTCTTGTGTAATTGCCCTAGCTGGAACCTTCTGATGTGGCAAGAGCCCTTACGTTATTTCTGACCTTCGGGACAAGGTGTTCCGTTTTCACCATTGAGTATGATGTTATCTGTGGGTCTTGTAGATATCTTACATCAGGTTGAGACAGTTCCCTTCTCATCTTAGTTTATTAACTGTTTTTATCATGAAAAGATATTGGATTTTGTTAAATGCTTTTTGTACATCTATTGAGATGATCATATGCCTTTCATTTTATTACTAGAGACTGGGTGCACAAAATTCATGCACAGGGAGGGGGGTTCCTTGAGCCCAGCCTGCATCCTCTCCAATCAGACATCCCTCTCCCAATCTGGGACCACTGGCTCCTAACCACTCACCTTCCTGCCTGCCTGATCGCCCCGCCCCCTAACCACTCTGTCTGCCTACCTGATCGCCCCTAACTGCCTCTGCCTGTCTGCCTGATTGCCCCTAACCACCTCTGCATGCCTGCCTGATCACCCCTAACTGCTCCCCTGCTGGCCTGATTGCCCCCAACTGCTCTCCCCTACCTGCCTGATCACCCCTAACTGCCCTCCCCTGCTGGCCTAATCTCACCCCCAACTGCCCTCCCTGCCAGCCTGGTTGCCCCCAACTGCCTCTGCCTTGGCCCCCACCACCATGGCTTTGTACAGAAGGAAGGTGGACATCTGGAAGATGGCCGGTCGACCCGGTCTAATTAGCATATTACCCTTTTATTAGTATAGATAGATTATATAGGATAGGATTGCTTAAATGGGGGCGGGGGAGCCTTTTCAGCAGGAGGAGATGCTCTTTGCAGACAAAAATACATAATCCCTATATCTGGACTGACAGTCAGCCATATGCACTATACTGCCAAACCGGTCATTAAAAAATTGAATTTTTTAAAAAATATATATTTTATTGATTTTTTACAGAGAGGAAGGGAGAGGAATAGAGAGTTAGAAACATCGATGAGAGAGAAACACCAATCAGCTGCCTCTTGCACACCCCCCACTGGGGATGTGCCCGCAACCAAGGTACATGCCCTTGACCGGAATCGAACCCGGGACCCTTGAGTCTGCAGGCCGATCCTCTATCCACTGAGCCAAACCGGTCAGGGCAAAAATTGAATTTTTTAACAGCTGTTGACCTTAAAACCCCTCCTCAGCCCCCACCCTAGGTTCTGCCTTCGCAATTCACCCAGGTTAGGTTCTGATTGGTCGGTTTCTATGCCAGTCTGCGTCAAATGCTCCACCTCCTAGGCAACCATTGGCTCCTCACAGTTCACCCAGATTTGGTTCTGATTGGTTTGTTTCTATGCCAGTCAGCGCCAATAGCTCCGCCTCCTAGGCAGCCGTTGGCTCTTCTGGGAAATCCAGAACGGCCCCACTGACAGCTGTCTCTCCAGGCCTATCTCCGGGCCTGATCCTCAGCCTCCACAGCAGCTGCTGATCAGGCTCTCGTTCTCTCTCTCTCTCTCTCTCTCTCTCTCTCTCTCTCTCTCTCGGCCTTGCCAGCAGCCTTGGTGGCTGCTGATCAGGCTCCACCTCTCTCTCTCTCTCTCTCCCCGGGCCTTGCCAGCAGCCACAGCGGCTGCTGATTAGGACCTGCCTCTCTCTCTGGGCCTCTCTCTGGGCCTGATCCGCAGCTGCCACAGCAGCGGCGAGGGTCATTTAGGCTCCATCCTGGGGTGGGGCGGAGGTAAAGGAGTTGGTGTGCCCGCCCACCCGGCCAACTTTAAAACATACCCCTCCCCCCGCGCACCAAAGAGTGTTGCCAGAGAGCTCATAAACTTTTAGGGGAACTGGCACTCCAACCGGTCCTTTAGGTCGTGCACAAGGCTTTTTTTAGGAAAAGAATAATGGTTATATTCCCTCAAGGGGTTTTATAAAACCCTTCACCCGAGAGAGATTTACCCATAATTTTTTAAGAAGAGTGGAAAAGAGAGGAAAAATTGGAGACAAATCTCTATCAATGCGGGAGAAACACATTGATGGGTTCCTTCCTCCCAAGCCCCGACCAGGATGGGCCCAGGGAGGAGCCTGCAGCCTCCACAGCAGTTGATGATCAGGCAGGAGCTCTTCCCCCCCCCCCCCCCCCGCCCCCCCACCCTTGACGGGAATCAAACCTGGGACCCTTCAGTCTGCAGGCCAACGCTCTATCCACTGTGCCAAACTGATTAGGGCAATGGATTTTTAAATTTTAAACCAACCATGCATTCCTGGTGTAATTCCCACTTGGCCATGATGCATAATACTTTTTTGTTACTTGGCCATGATGCATAATCCTTTTTTGTTTTTATTATCTTTTTCCATGTTTTTATTGATTTCAGAGAGAGGCAGGGAGAGAGAGATAGAAACATTGATGAGAGAGAAACATTGATCGGCTGCCTCCTGCACGCCTTCGCATTGGGGATTGAGCCACAACCTAGGCATGTGCCCAGACCGGGAATCAAACTCGCAATCTTTTGGTGCATGGATGATGCTCAACCAACT